GTGTATAAATAAGTGGGAAATTATATTTCCGCTTTCTGTCGGTGAATTCAGACGCGTTTAACACTCGAATTATGTTCAGCTGGATGCCGAAGGAAGACCGGCGTACCTTCGAAGGACAATGTCCGAATTAAATTGACCCAGATTCTACTACAAATTCAGAATATATATGTACAATATTCGGCGCGATACAAGGAGAATTAATACATATTCCAAACGATATATCCTTATCAATAAGATTTTGGTTGGAGTAAGAAAATGCAATTTTGTGATATAATACATTTTTGAAGAACAATTAACTAAACTAATTGTAAGAGCGTTTTTAAATTCAAAAAGAGGAATTGATGTGTTGTTTGATATTACATTCCATCTTTTTTCAATATTATTGATTATCACATCATAAGGTATATTAGTACACATTGATATTACATCAAATGATACCAATTTATAATTGGTATCGATTGGTTTACCATTCAGTTTGCTAACCAATTCAAAGCTGTTTTTTATGAACCCATAATAGTCTTTATTTGTGCTATATTTTTAATTATGTTACTCAAAAATAATGCTAATTGATAATTAGGACTATTAGTACAGCTGATGATTATTCTAAGAGGTAGATTTACTTTATGAATCTTTGACAGTCCATAAGCTCTCGGCAACAATCCTTCCGATGTAGATAATTTTTTATATGTAGATTGATCAATATATTGACGTTTAAATCGAGTTAATATTTCTCTAGTACTATTAGTTGATTTGGTTAATGGATCTTTATTAATTTGATTGTATTACATTCATTTTATAGTTGTAATCAAGTTACCTAATAATTATTTAAACCTCCTTTTCAATCATTCTCACCACACAAATCATAACTTCCACTCCTAAATAAATCCTTTATTTTGAACCTTATATAACTGACATAGATAACACGTACACTCTCATAACGAATCTTATACGAATACGAATAGGCCATTCTCTATCACACACAAAGACGAATACAAAATATTTGACAAAAATGGACTCGACAAGTAATATGAAGATATAGGTAAAATTATTATAAATATTAATTTAATTTTTATTAAAAAAAAATGAAACATACAGCACAATTAATAGAACTATAATTTACATTCAGTTAGGAAACTATATGTCTTAACAATTTCTGAGAGTTCCATTTATTACAATAGTACTGACTGGAATCAACATCATCAAAATATTCATTAGACGAATTTTTATAAACATCAATAAGAATTTAATTAGAATATTATTAAAATAACATGCAAGAGACTAACAAACTAATCAAATCAGCTGATTATATTCTCACACTAAAATCATTATTATTGTTATACAAAATGAACATCTAAGATATTAAAATTATTTAGATTACTGGCCAGATTAAAGGCCGAAACGTAATTGTACTAATTTAATTGTACTAATAATAAAATTTCGTTTTAATATTCCACGAAATACATCATATTTTCGCTAAATCTATCCATCGTTGTGGTATATGCTCGATTTCAATACCTTTGTTTATTACTAAACCACAGTAAATTTATATTATTGTTAATTTAGCACAACAATCTTTTTTTCGCGTGTGCCTTTTTGCAATGTTTGTTTTAAAAGGTAATGTCTATTAATAAATTATTGCAAACGTCGATATCAATATCTACATTCCATAAACGTGTATCTCGAACACGACGTAGTCTCGCAATCGCATAACGATAATCGATCGTTCAAGATTCGCATCGCTCAAGATTCAACGGCTGTACGTGCCTGAGGGCGGCAATATGCAAAATAATTCTGCTTATATATCACAGCGGAGGAGCAAGGGGCGCGGCCGCTGTAGTCGGGTTTGACAGAGCAATGTTTTCCTCCGGCAAAACGTATGGCGCTCGATCGTGCGAAATGGACCGGTGAACGGCGAACGCGAGCGAGCGTGAACGCGGGCGCGAGCGAGGCGAACAAAAACGACAAGCGTGAGTTGTGCGGCACGTTACGACGTAATGTAAAGGCCACGAGGCGTCCTGAGCGAAAAAGTTTTCTCGTTATCCATCCATCCGCCCGGGGACTGCCGGGCGAAAAAAGGCCGGTAAATTGCGGATCCAGAATTCCCGCCAAAGCGACTGTGTCCCCCGGTCTGATCCGCGCGGATGTTTCAATCGCACGAGGCATTACCGCGCGTACAAATAATCCGCTATTCTACGTTCTCTTTTACGATGAGGATCTCGGCGGAGACTCGCCGGGATATACAAGCAAAATGAGGCGCTGAAGGGGATGAATCGACAGTGGTGGTTCATGTAATACTCATGCGTAAGATCCGCTTTTAGTAAATGTAACTATGTATTTAAAGTGGATCCTTCTATACGAATCGCGAGCTCGCTTTACTCGAACGCTGCGTACGCTTCAATTATTTCGCCCTTTGCTCGTAGCAGTTAATAAGCCAACATTGTTCCCCGAAGTATCGAAGTTCCAACGAGAGACGTAGCAATATCCTGTATAATTTGTATACGCGCGTCTTCCACAGACTAGCTTGATAAGAGCGCGGAGATGAAATTCCTGGATCGCGCGGAGCATGGGGGGGGGGGGGGGGGGGGGGGGGAGACAATTTTGAGGAAGAGCGATTCGTAATTTCGCGAACGCAACAACGACGCGCAAATATCAAACGTCAGAAAGTTAAATAACACGTGCATCAGGGATGAAAGCTGTACGGAGCTGTGTCGCGTCGCGGATCGGACGCGCGTTATTATCGGTGATGCGCCGCGCGCGGATTGATACCGGAGCGTCAAATTGGCCGATTTCCCCGCAATTCCCCACGGCCCGCGGCCGCGAATTTATTTTCGCCGATGTGAAGCCACCAACGGTGGAGAGATGGCGGGGGTGTGGTTAGCGATATCCCGCCCGCGGATACTTTAACGCGAAACGCAAAATTTGCTGGCTCGTATTGCCGGGCGGTGAGGTTGAATCATCGGACATCCATCGATCCGCCTCTTGTCGATATGAATATCTATTAGACGTAATTGATGTCTACCATCCGGCGTAGCGAATGCCGCGGTAAATGTCAAATCGGCCTCGCCCACTCTGACTGATCGGTGTTGTGAAAACGCTTCGGCTCCGATAGACGGGCTGCCAGCAAATTGTCTGTTGGAAAAATTTCGCTGTCGTGCGGGACATCGAGATATCGAACCGCTTTTAGTTTCCGCTTCGGCTGCGGCGCACATAGCTATGCCAAGTGTATTGGAAATAGGACAAAAGACAGGGATTTTTCTACTGTGTATACGTAATATTTCGTATTTAATTATTTTAATTCTACTCGCGGAATCGCGTAAGAAAAACTTATCATTGCGAATTCTTTTGTTGTGTGTGTACTGCTGTTTCTTTCGAGGTGAAACGTGCATGTGTGCTTGACTGACTGTGAGAGAAAATGACAAAATGTACATCCTGTGAAGATACAACGAGAAAGTTAACGAGCGCGACGCGCGTATTCTTAGTTAATTGGAGTGATAAAAAAATCGTGAGAAGGATATAAGAGCTATCGGTTGGTAAAGATACTTAGCGCAGGCAAAGTTTTAACGTCGGGTCGACAGCAGGATTTAGGTGCGGTAATAAGTTGAAGGGATGAGAAGAAACTAACGCCAGAGAGAGAGAGAGAGAGAGAGAGAGAGAGAGAGAAGGTCTGTGCAAAGTTTGTGAGAGTGATAGGAGGATAGTAACGCATTTAATGAAAGAGTACGTTGGTGGGCAACGAGAAGAGAGAAAAAAGAGAAAAGGTGTTGGACACTGAGGACGAGTTAGATTGGACGGAACAAGTGATGAGAAAAAGAAGCAGAAAAACGGGAGAAAGTAAAGCGCGAGGAAAAGGAGGATACGCGACGACGCGGTCAAATTTAAGAGATGTAGGGAGACAGTAGTGTGGAAGTAATTGAAATCGTAAGATTAATGCGCCGGGGGACCCAACGTTTCTCGGGATGTTAATGAGAGAACATTAGATATAGTTCTTATCTTCGTTTTTGCCGAACGCGCTCGACGCGACGCGCGAAGATTAAAAATCTCGCGGAAACATCGTTCGTACACGTTAAACTCTCTGTAACGTCGCATGCTAAAAGCATTATTCCGGCTATTATTAACGTTACCATTATACGTTGTAACATCAGCGAGAATAGATAGCGTATTGTTAAAATGAAAATAGATATTAATTACCTAACGTAGAACTCAATAGAGAGCACTCGGCGTGCTGTTGTAGCCATAATTATTATTTCGATATTAGTTAACAAGACATTTAACTGGGCTAGTTTATACAGCTCTTGACCAAAATTGATTCACATTTCGCACGTGAACTACAGCAAGAGATTAATTCATGTCCAAGATATTATCTCATCCTGTACACATAATATCCAAATATTCGTGTCATCGCATATCCACTATCATAACCACCGTCCGTTACCTGTATAAACAGGAAGAATAGACCTGCGCGAGAGATTCTGCAATCGATTAGCAGCGAATACCGCCGTTCCATTTTACAGGAGCTTCTATTTTACGTCGAGAAATTTTGCGCAGGAAAATGTTATTTTTGACAAAACGTACCTTCATCTCTTTAAAAAAAACTCTGATATTAGAATTATAAAAAAAAAAAAAAAAAAAAAAAAAAAAAAAAAGAAACGCGTTGTCACGAATAATTGGTATAATACTCTCGAGCGAGCTACCCCCGTTCAAACGCGACGGCGGACAGAAAAATCCCGCTTCCGCAGAGGGTCAATCCAGCAATAAATCTCGCTATTCGCTGTGTACATCGCGGAAACAGTGACGTAATACTGCCGGGAACTGGCCGATCCGCGAATCACGATCCACCATTTACATCGAATCGAACTCGATGTCCGAACACTGCGTTCGTTCCACCTGCCTGTAGGATATCCAAATCCTGCCGGGGATGTGCGCTACGTCGTTCGTCCCTCCACTTCCTCCATCTTCTCCTCCATCCCTTCCCGGTCCTAGCAAGAAGAATCGATACATACCTGAAGTATTCCACGTATTTGTCCGCTCTTGGTCTCGACGATGCGCGAGGCGTAACGGGTCGCGGGCTGCGAGGAAGCCGCAGCACGACTGCGGCCGGCCAAGATTAGCAGGACAATCAGGGGTAGCAGCGATGCGAGTCCTACGCGTAGAAGGCGACGGATCGGGCACCACGTCGTAACCAGCGGCCGGCTCCGGGCCGCCGGCTGGCATGGCAGCGGCATGACAGCATTTGCTGGCGGCCACCTGCAGCGATGCCACCAGCATAACCGACCTTGGTCGTCGATCAACAGCCGAATCGGTCAGGCCAGCCGGGTGTACAGCGGTGGCGGCACTCTCGGCGGCGCGGCACTCCAACGGTTTCCGAGAGATCTCTCTTTAACTTGTCCGCAACGAACGACGCGACGTCCTGCAACTCGCTCCTCCGTATTCCCTCATTACAGCCCGGCAGTCACTTTCTTTCCGCTTTTAATTCCCTTCTCACAGGCGGTTCCAAGACCGGCACTCTTCTCAACCAAAGTCCAAGTTAAATTGCTCTCAAAACATCTTGAATAAGAAAGTTGGGAGACGACCGGCCTCCGTGCCGCCGCCAACGTGGACGGCTTTGAACGTTGAAAGGCGAGCTCCGGTCTGTAAGCAAGCAAGCGAGAATACGATGTAATGGAACGCTCGCAAGAATTAGTATTTTATTTTCCGATATAACTGCAGTTTACGCATTAAAATTTAACTGTCAACTTAAATTAATATTACTCTAATTGCCATTTCGGGTGAGCGTAGAGTATCAGAAGTATTCGTGATAATTCACGCTCTTCAATTTCGTCAAAAACTGCTTCTCTATTTTCGAAAACTTTTACAATGAATTCCCATTAGTACTGCCCGAGTTGTACCAATATATGTAATTTGAAAGCAAAATTTCAACAATTACCGATTTTAATAGACTTTAAATGTACAAGACATCACGGCACATAAAAAAAGTGTAATAATTTATCGCAATTTCTGTGATATCTCTCGTTATTTCTAGCGAAATTTTATGTTCTACAATCGTTTTTAAACAGAGTTCAGAGTTTCAATTTCTACTTTTTCAATTTTAATTTTTTAATATAACAGATGTGGGGAACTCTTTTTTTATTTTTATAAAAGACTATATAGAACTATATGAAAAGTGCTACTGGAACTGTCATTACTTTTATTATATCATTAAAATGCTGTGCTAACTTTACATATTCCATTTTTAAGTGTCCGTGAAGTTAATACATTATTAATATGAAAGAAATAATGACAGATCCAATACCACTTTTCATAATTCTACAGTCTCTTATTAAAAATAAAAAAGAGTTTTTACTTATTTTTTATCTATTTTTATTTATTTTTTACAGATTTCACTTTTTCTATCAGAATTTACAATTAAAAAATTAATTATCTTGGTTATCGTCATTTAGCACAGAATTGAGAGGAAAGCCTCGTTCTAACATCTGTACACACTTAAAAATATATCTGTAACTATCGATCTATTTTAATTATACTGACTCCATTTTCACATATTTTTTCATATATTTTCACATATTGATTCTACTTTTTTCGCTATTAAACGAAGAAATAGTTAAAAATTTTTCGGACAACTATAAACAAAGATTGTTACAATAGCACAAACACTTTTACTATTTAATTTGTTAGAATGTCATTTTTAGTTGGCTATAATTGTTAAATCTTTCCACAATAAATTATATCAATCTTTATTATATTGTTATGTTATAATTACATTTTTTATTTCTTACTTTAATGTGGCTGAAGAAGATTAAGTAAGTGAAAACGCACAACATTTACTCACTATATTAGTCTCTATTAAGGTATCTCAATTGGCAATAAATACGCTTAAAAAATTTTATATTTAATATCGCTCATACACTGACTTTCGATCATCTCTAGTTTGCATTAACAATTATTGAACTTGATTCTTATCTTTTATTAAAAAATTAATTATGCTTTAACAGTCTAACAATATTATTGGCGGAAAATTAAGATCGGAATCTCATTATCGCGCAAAATTCAAGAATATCTTTCACGATAAAGCCATTATTCGTAAAAATAGTCTTTTGTCCGCGCTCGTAATTACAACAATAAGCCTATCAATGCGAATGAATCGCACTAACACCGATAGGACTTGCCATTCATCATTTTTTAAAAATCGTCGATTCATTCGATACCGCTGTCCGGTTTTGCGGTGAATTCGCTCGGTCGGATGTGACACACTGATGAACGGACACGATTCGATCGATCGGCAGTTCCTAAATTTATGGAATTCGCCGGTTCAGTCGCGCGCAAATCTGCGGTGTACAGTACGATTAATGCGTTTAACCGAATCAATCACTTTATTAATTAATCCTACCATACGATCGGCGGAACGCTCCATGATCGGCATTAAATAAATGGATTCCACTATACATTGTCAAAATCGTGACCACAATCAAATCTGGGTTTGTCCTTAAACCTCAGATTAACTCACATTAATCCACTATTAAATGGACATTACCATGTCTGGCAAATTCCGTGAATCTTCATTTCAGTCCGTTTCAATCTCTTGTTAGAGATACAGAAATATTTGTGTAATTGCTTATAAGATAGAAAATGAGTAAACACAAGAAAGAAATCTTCAGTATCTGCTCATCGTAATTCATGTGAGACAATTTTTTTGCAATGAAAAAAAATCTAATTTGTCACAATTATATCGATTTCACAAATGGCCTCCCCTTAAATAACCGAATGAAGTAAACCGAGCAGCCGTATTATTTTAAGTCTCGAAAATGTGAAGAAAATAAGTGAATACCCCAATAATGGTACACCAACTAAGGTGACAAGGAGGACGACTGAGAGGAAGGGTTGTGAAAGAGACAGCGAGAGAAGCACTGATTGCACCGAGAAACTTATTTCCCCGCAGGACATCTCGCTGATCAACCCTCCTCCTTCTGGTTTCAATCTGTCGCATTTCTGAACCCTCTCCCAATCCTCTCGCTACTTTCCCCGATTCCATGTTTCCACTTAGGGTTAACGGCGGCGCCGCTGAATCGCAAACTTTCTCGCTCGCTAACGATATCAGCGCCAATATGGTTGATTTAAATTTTTAATCGCGGCTACATCGTTCCCGATGGCGATTGGCACCGTCCGTTCGGATCTTTCTCTCTCGGATAGGAATTTTCTTTCCATTCGCGGAATTCGTTACGGATTCAGCAGAGCTGACAGGAAACAAATTAATTAGAAAACGAATATGGTCAAATTCGCCAAATCAACTTTTTTAGCTTATTTTCTTTCTAGACTACAAATGTGCGAAGACATGGATCTTATTTCAAGATCGTCTTTATCGTAGTATTTCGTTAACACATCCAGTTCGAAATGTAGTCTTACGAGCAAGAAGAGAAATCATTGTGTTTTATTCATCTCACAGGATTTCATCATAATGTTTTAATGAATTTCCGTTTTAACTTCTCCTAAAGCGCACGTAAATTATTGCTTGTATTATTAAACTTTTAAGTAAATCCATTTACTCGACGCGAATGCATTTCCGTGTCGCCGTACATTACAACTCTGTACGTTATTACGTAATATGATTTATTTAACGTAAATGGATGGCAACAATTCAAACAAGAAATATACGGCTAGGTGTCTTTTGGCAGTTGCGTCATATCGCATTCTGCGATGGTGTACATTGATAACGCGTTTTCTCCAGACGAAAAATTGGCGACGATAATAGATACGGCGGCCCCGCCGCGCCGGGGAATCTAACTACTTACGATAAATTACAACTTTGATATTCAGAACTTTCCAAGTTGCGGAGAAATACGAGATAAAGTTCCTTGTTCCGGTTTATTTTTCGCAAATCGATGCGCCGTGCGCGGGTCTCCGCTTCATTATGATACCGCCGCAATTTACGTCGCTTTTTTCTCTCTCTCTCTCCCATGTTTGAACTATCGCGCTCGAGAACGAATATCCATTTTATTCTTTCGTAAGAATTATCATCGCGAAACCGTAAGAGGAGAGATGCGAGTCAAAGGGAAGAGAGTTCGATCGCTATCAAACTCACGTGCGTTTGCTTAATCCATTATGCATCTTGCCTAACCGATTTAACTGCGAAGTGATATCGATCCTAATGAAACCTCAGCGTAAGAGCGGTGATCGATAATCGCGATTAGATCGGCCGAACGTGGGTCAATTCGGTTATCGCGCGAGCAACGCGCGAGACTTTCAGTCGTTCTGGAATGGAACACCGAAGGCTAATTTAATTCAAGCCTCAATTATCGGTCGTACCGATCCCCCAGGCGGCACTAACTTTCGCCCTTCGATGTGGCGCCGCGCCGTTCCCAGAGGAGACGCCCTAGGAATAGGCGTGTAATATAACTTGCACGAGCCTTGTATATCGCTTTATCTTCGTGTATGACATTTCATCGTGAGAATCGAGAGGGAAAAGAAATCGATACTGCCACGAAGCTGCAATTTTCGCGACTAATCATGTTATTTTATACAAACGATTTGGTTATTTTATATCTAATATTATTTATCATTTATTGTAAGAAAAAATATTTACTATAAATCTTAATATTTTTTTCAACAATATTAACTAAATACATTTAAAAATAGATGAGATGTTACAGAATTCTTAATATTCGAAATACAATAATATGTTATAAAGGGCATATGAGAGTCTAAAAATGATAAAAATGTGATTGAAACTTATGTGATTAAATCGATATTAGTCTATTCAAGTTAAATACACAAAAATACAATACACGTTTCGGCTTTATACTTAAGCCCTCTTCAGGTATACATAAATTATAACGTTGTAAAATTTAAACTTAAAAGTTAAGAAGTCAACTCGCTTATTTACCTAATAATATCGTGTACCTAGATTAATTTAATCATATAAGTTTCTCAATCACATTTTTATTATTTTTAGACTCTTATATATGTGCCCTTTATAATATATTATTGTATTTTAAATACATTTACTTTTGCAGTAAATGAATATTTAAAAAAAAGAAAAAAATATACGCCAAGTGCACAAACAAGGTATTGAACTTCTTAAAAACGAATATAAAATAAATGTAATTAATCAAGTATTTCATTATGCAAAAGACACATAAGACCGAAAGTGGCTAAAATTGTCTGGATTATAGTAAAGGAAAAACTTGGCGTGCCCGGGTCGCATTGAAACACCATAGTTCTATCGCAATATTCTGCAGATAT